GTTCAATTAGTGCAATCTTTAAAACCAGCAGACTTTCAGAAAACGAGTAAATTATGCTGTCAGGTTTCAGAGAACTGCAAGAAATGACAATGAGTTTATTCACAAGTTGATCATGGGAGATGAAGCTCATTTCCATTTGAAAATGGACATGTGAATAAGCAAAAAATAAAAAAGAATTAATTAATACAGTCATTTAAGAAAAAGTTATTTAATTTTCAAAATGTAAAGTGACTTCTGGGCCACCCTTATAATCCGTAGCCATATTTTACAGTACTAAAACGTTAAATAGAACCCAATCCAAAGCGCAGAGAAAGCTAATCCGAACAGCAATGATAACAGAAATGAGCTGAGATGTTTCTCAAGGGGAAGGGGTGCTTTTTAAAGCTTTAATGTTCTGAGAATTTCTGTTTTCTCGAGATTTCTAGAAAGCAAGAGATTAGAATTACAAGTTACAACAGCTAGCATAGTAGTGAATTACATTTATTCAATTTAAATAAATTACGAGACACAGTGAAAATCGTTTTAAAACACAAAACTGAAGGGACTGAAAAGTGTTTTCGTGTTAGAGGACACTGTAAAAAAAAAAAAAAAAAAAGTAAACTAAATCACATATTCAACAAAATGAAGCTTATTAGAGTACATTTTATTTATACAGATACGTATATATGAATGTATTTAATAAAAATCAATAAACAAACACATCCACAAGAACTTAAGTTAATACAAAATTTTAAAGTTCTTTGCAAAACAAAAAAGCATTTATTGAGTTTTTGAAAAATAATCTGATATTTTTCTTTGCATTATTTTTTTCAACGTCAAATTGTCAACAAATTGTTCGATGTCGTTCATGTTTTGTTACTCATTTCACCATTGGAAAGTACGTCTAAATAATTGCACACACTTCTCTTGATATTCCTCATGGTATCCGGACATAATCCCGACAGCCGAAATCCCGACAAGCCAGAATCCCGACAGACGGAATCCCGACAAGCCAAAATCCCGACAGGGTCGAAATCCCGATTGTCCAATATCCCGACAGGGTCAAAATACCGACACGGGCGAAATCCCAATAAGGCCTAATGACCCCTTAACATACTTCCACAGCTGCAACTAGTATATACTTTGATGACTAGCAAATCTGAAAATCTGAAAATTACAAAAGATTATTCCAAGATTTAATTTATTTCGCTGAAGAAATTAATATTGAATTGAGGCCATCTAGAATCATTAGTGATCTAGAAAAGGCAGCAATAAATGCTCCGCGCACTCAAAATGCTGTCGAGGATTGGCACAGAAGATGGGAGACCTTAATTGGACGGCCCATGTTGGCGTTTATAACATCATAGAAGGATTTCAAAAAGAACAGGAGCATGTGGAGTACCAAGTTGAATGCATTCTTCGAGGAAAAACAGCAACCAAAACGTAGGAAGATAGATGATGACAGAGAAAGGAGAATTATGACTGTTGTAGACGATCGTGATAATCGACCTGTGATGGAATATCTTCGTGCTATCGCTCACAATGTGTCACTGTAAATATGTCGTTTGCATGTGTAAGTGATGTTTTTCTTTTTCTTAATAAAAAGAATTTTATAAATCTTCATTTCAAATTTTTAAAACGGTCATTTCAATTTGTTAAAAATTATTTTAAGTAATGACATAATTTTTATGATTTTTTGATTTAAACTTTTAATTAGTAATATGTAATAGTTAGTTAAAAATTGTATTTTATTAAGCTAAATTGAGTGTTTGTATTAGATATTAACTTGTCGGGATTTTGGACAGTCGGATTTCGACCCTGTCGGGATTCTGGACACTCGGGATTCTGACCCTGTCGGGATTTCGACCGTGTCGGGGTTTTGGACAGTCGGGATTCTGGCTTGTCGGGATTATGACCCAGACCCATTCCTCATTTCTGATGGCGTGGGAACACACGAGCTGTTTATCATTCCATTTTTGTCGTCGGAATCTGCATCAATGATATTTTTTAATTTTGAATACGCTACAAAATGTCTTTGTCGGTCATAATTTGGGCTGTATAACAAATTATCATCATCTACTGCAACGAATTCTTCTGATGACACAATAGGAACAGTAAAATAACACAGAAACTTTCTCAAACATTTCGTAAAGTGTCGGCTCAGTTTCAATACCTCATGGAGCAAAAACAATTTTACTTTACACCTGACTGCCACTGGCTTCCGACATAGCAATGTGAATATTCTACATCTAAAATTTTAAACACCCATTCCAGAATTTTAAATGCTTATTTAATATAATTTCTATTCATATATTTGCAAGTTATACACTATAAACACAATAACAAATTTGAACTTATTTCCACCAGCCTGAATAAGCCTGGCATAATATTCTGAACTTGACGCAATTTTAGAAGGAAAAATAACAAATTCAAACACACAGGTTTCATCCTTTCCAACGCAGCTAATTTCTAAAGATATATTATTATATCCGCAACGGGCAGCGAATTCATTTTATTCACCCAAAACTCAATGTTTTAACGCAATAGTATCGCAAAGGAAACATCAATTCAAAATCAAATATTAAAATCTATAGAATATCATCTGCCGTTGCATTCCACACTGCCAGTTTTCTTCCTGCAGCTGTTGCCAGACTTATCCTCGCTGTATGATGAGAGGTACAATACCCTCCTTCTCCATTCCTTTTGGAGTTAACCAAACTCACGGATTTTTACACACACTGCGATGTACTCGTCACCGAATTTCAAAGCCAACTAAAGAAAGATGAAATGTTTTTTTGTGGCTTTTGTAGGGGTAGTGGGTGAAAGTAGCTTAAAATAAACAAAATTGGCTCGTGTCCATTATTCCGAAGGTATTTCAAAGCGAAGTTAGCCTCTTTCAACGAAAACATGTGAAACCACCTCTCTTTCATTTCACACACCGGTTAAATCTCGTCTGTGCGGCTGGTGTTTCCCGTATTTTTTTCATTTCCAGAGGGAAAATTTTTTCGTCTTAAGCGATTTTCGTTTCGCGTTAAAATAAAAAAAAAAAAAAAAAAAAATAAAAATAAAAATAAAAAAAAAAAATAAATGCATGAAAATATATAGGTGGTTTGTCGGACCGTTGTATTATTTCTTGTTAACCGATATTGTTTTAAGCGCGGTGACGTACTTCACGTACTATAAATAAGCTGTACGTACTTTTTACTCTGTCTTCCTAAGCTTTTTTACTAAAAAAACAAAATTAACAAAGTATGTTAACTAAACCAAACCGCCTCCACATCTAAACTCCGAACTATCAGCACCATTACATCTAAACTCGAGAATAATCCTACGGAAGAACGTAGTTAGAACTCTGAATCCGAACTTGAATGACTGTTAGCTGGAGAGCGCGTAATTTCATGTAATCTAATAATTGTATATAACTGTATCTAAATATAATATCTTTATTTATACAGAAGTGTCAGTTTTTTATGCAAAAGCTTGGAATTATTTAGATATTTCATCGAATAAGAATTAGAATGGAACAAGCTCGGCTCCCGGGTGAAAGAAAAGGTAAGAGATTTCTTTTTACCTTTTAGAATTCTATTGAGAGATACAACAACAAATTTTGGCATCCCTGCCGGGACGCCCGAGCTAAGAATAAGAATTTAAATTAGACAATAAAGATTAAGAATACAATTATTGATTACTTTTTGAATTTTTGAACTGTTAAGAACATGTCTGAAGAGATTTTAAATAAATTAAAAAAGAAGCGCGCAGCTCTCCGAACATCAGTAACGAAATCGCTTAAAGATTTGGAATCGCAGCTTTCGGAAATTGATCCGAAAATTCATGATTTGGAAGAAAATTTAGAAATATTAAAGAATAATTTCGAATCGCTTAAAAGTGTCGATACAGAATTAGAACCTCTTTTTAAAGTCGAAGAATTTGATGCTGAATTCCAAAAATCTGAAGAATATCGTCCAAAAGGTCGTTAAATGCAGTTTCCGTACCTCCAAAAGAATCGACGAATTAAAACGCAAATCTACTGAAACGGTAGTAAATAACCAGTTCAGTACTGATAGTCAAAGCGAACCAAAACATAACGAGTCTGTTCGAATTAAATTACCTAAGTTAACTTTAACGAAATTCTACGGAGATATAAACAACTGAACTGGCTAACCTTTTGGAACAGTTTCGAGTCTGCCATTCATAAAAATGATTCATTAGATAAAATAGACAAATTTAATTATTTGAAAGCTCATTTAGGTGGTTCTGCTTTAAATACAGTCGAAGGATTACCGATTACTGCTGCTAATTACGATTCCGCAATTGATCTTCTAAAAGAAAGATTTGCGAAAACAGATGTGCTCATTTACACTCACATAAATAACATTTTGAACACTAAACCGTTGAAAATCTCGAATGATGTTCGCGCCTTTAGAAAATTTTATGATAATATTTCTATCGAATTAAGATGTTTAGAAAATTTGGGTCAGTCTCTCGAGAATTTATCAAGTGTGTTATGTCCAATAATTCTGAAATCACTTCCCCAAGATATTTTGCTTGAGATTAACAGAATGAGTAATGGAAGTGCGTATTGTAATATTAAAAGCCTGTGCTTGATTATAGCTCAATGTTTAGATTCACGCGAAAGGGCGGAAGTCATAAATAAGAATTCAGAGCATTCGACAGCGAATAGTGGGCGCCGTCAGTCTGCGTATGCAGTCCAGAAAATAAACACTCGTCATTTCAGCGATGGAAAGAGCAATAAATTAGAAACGAAAGCTTCTTCTGCTTCTGATTTAGTGTCCACGGGTATTAAAGAAAAATTGATTAAGGCATGCGTTTTTTGCGGAGATTTTTCCCATTCAAGCCATAAATGTCCTATTGCCCAGAAACTAACTAATGACGAAAAGGTTGAAATACTACTACGCAAAAATGGCACTTGTTTTAGGTGTTTACAAAATAAGGGTCACATCAGCAAATTTTGTGATTCTAACATTTTTTGCTCCCATTGTCACTCTAAGCATTCTACGATTATGTGCAACAGAATTAATTCCGAGAGTAAAAAGGGAACGATCAAAACTGTCCAGGAAGTTGAAAATAAAGTACTTTCGAATCAAAGCAACCGTTCTGAAGTTTATTTACAAACTTTGGTCGTAGGGGTAGCTGGGAAAACCTTAAAGGGTTATTTAAGATTGCTAATAGACACCGGAAGTCAGAACACGTACATAAGTCAATATGCTGCTAAAACGTTGAAATTAGAAAAGATAGGAACTGAAAGAATTAAACATGGGTTATTTGGGGGTGTAGAAGTTTCGGAAGATCATAATCGTTATCAAATAGATTTAACTAGTTTGGATGGAAAGTACAGGTGTAAAATCGAAGCACTAGACCAGAGGAAAATTTGTTCGTCACTACCTAAGATCAAAGACGAAAAATTAATTAAAGTAATGGAAAAAAGGGGAATCCTTATCAACGACAATCATGTGAATGGAAATCTCTGTCTGTTTCAAGAAAATCCGGAAGAGATTCATATGCTGTTAGGAGCGGACACCGCAGCACAATTGTTCACTGAAAGAATTGAACATTTTGCGGGGGATTACGTAGCCTTTGAGACCAAGTTAGGCTGGACTTTAATGGGCAAGATTAAAGAGAATGCGAATACGTCGAGTTCCCTGTCCGTTCTTTCTTTATCCTTACATGTTTCCGATACAAATTTGTCCAATCTTTGGCGTTTAGACACCTTGGGGATTTCAAGTGAGGAAAACAAAACGAAAAGTGTCTTGGAAGAAGAAACTCGAAAACATTTCTTAAAAAGTGTAAAACGAGATAGCTCAGGGAGATATGAAGTAACCTTACCCTTTATTTTAGATAAATCCGTCTTATCCAGTAACCGTACTATGGCAGAAAGACACCTCGTCAAAACCGAAAGTAAACTAATTAACACACGCAGAAGAAAAGATTACGAAGAAATATTTGATGAGTGGGAAGCGAAGGACATTATTGAGGTAGTAACTGAGGAAAAGGAGGAAGGAGTGCACTACTTGTCACACAGACCTGTAATAAAAGAGTCTAGTGAAACTACAAAGATACGGCCTGTTTTCAATGCATCTGCACGTTCTAAGAATTCACCCTCTCTCTCAATGATTGTTTGAGTAAAGGACCAAATTTAATAGAAATTATTCCACGTATATTGAATCGTTTTCGAAAATATCGCATAGGAGTGTCATCTGACATCGAAAAGGCCTTTTGTCAAATCAAAATAGCAGAAAAGGATAGAGATTTTTTAAGGTTTCTATGGTTCGATAATCAACATAAGTTTAAAATTTACAGACATAACCGAGTTGTTTTTGGACTCACATCAAGTCCGTTTCTGCTAGCCGCTACACTTAGTCACCTTTTGACTACAGTCCCAGAAAAATTTGTAGAAACTTCTAATATTTTGAAAGGATTCATTTTACCTCGATAATTCGTTAATTAGCTTAAATCACGTAGATGAAGCCGAAAATTTCGTTCAAGAAGCAAGATTGATTTTGGCTTCAGGGCATTTCAATTTGAGATGTTGGCGATCAAATTTTCGCATTGACATGATCGATGAGATAGAGAGCAAGACGAAAGTTGTCCCAGTATTAGGATTAGTATGGGATTTAGAAAAAGATAGTTTGAGTTGCAAGATCGAAGAAACATTTAACTTGAGGGAACCTATTACCAAAAGAAAAGTTTTGTCAATTACCCAGAAAATTTTTGATCCCATTGGCTTTACTGCACCGATAACTGTAATTCCTAAGCTAATTTTGCAAGAAACATGGAACCAGAAAGATTAAGTGGGATGAAGATCTTCCTCTTCCCCTAAGTGAGCAGTTTGGGACTTGGTTGAACCAATTGCCTCTGCTATCTCAGATTGAAATTCCTCGTTGGTTAAATATTGATTACGAAAACGAAGATACCGTAGTGCTCCACGTTTTTTCGGATGCTAGTAAAAGAGCCTATGCCACATGTGCATTTTTAAGAGCTGAAACCATCGAAGGTGTAAAGGTTCAGTTAGTAAGCGCGAGAAGTCGAATAGCCCCTATTAAGGAACTTACGATTCCACGGCTTGAACTTCTTTCCTGTCTGATAGGTGCCAGGCTTGCCAAAACAATTCTATCAGATTTGAAACTTAAGAATTGTAGAACAGTGTTCTGGAGTGATTCTTCTACAGCTTTGGGGTGGATAAGAAGGGATCAAGCATGGGGTACGTTTGTTCACAATCGAGTACAAGAAATAAGATCGCTTACCAGAATATCTGACTGGAGGCATGTACCTGGAAGTTTAAACCCAGCGGATCTCCCATCGAGAGGATGTACTATTGAGCAATTACAGAAATCGGCATGGTGGGAGGGCCCATCGTGGCTTTACTTACCAGAAGACGAGTGGCCCCATGTAGAAGAAAAGCCTGATGAAGAACTTACTAAAAACAATTTGACTACTAAAATACTTCTCTACCGTCGCTTGATGTCTCAGTTGATGAATTGGAGAATGCTGAAAAGGCACTTTGTAGATTGGTACAGAAAGAATCATTTACAGGCATAAACGATCCCGCTATTCGTGCGCTGAGACCAATCGTAGACCAAAATGGAATTTTAAGAGCCAAAACGAACGTCCTACAGCGTCAAGATAATGAAAATTTCCGATATCCTATCATTTTACCTTCAAAACATATTCTTGTTGAGAGACTAATTTACGAGAAACATCTAGAACTCCAGCATGCTGGTGTCAGCACTTTAATGACAAATCTTAGAGAAAACTTTTGGATATTAAAATCCAGAAAAAGTATTCGAAATATTATCAGAAAATGTGTAAGATGTAAAAGATTTGTTTCACAAAGAGTGGAAGTCGAGCCAGGATTTCCACCCGAAGATCGAGTCAGA